TTCCCCTTGCTCTTCACCCGGTCCAGGACAGTAAAATATGGCTGTACTGTAGACCCTGAGATATAGCAGTGGCCAGAGAGGAGCTAATAGCCTGGCATGTTGGCTTAGCTGGGCAAAGAGATTCCAGCCTGTTTCATACTGCTTTATCCTTGCTTTTCACCCAAACAAAACATGCAGACTGGGAGACGGTATCAGCATTTATCCCATCAGTGAAATGCAGGCCCCCCTCCAAGGCATGGTCTTTCAGTCAGCTTTTCATTTTTTTGCCATTTTATTAAAATAGTACCTTTTTTGAAAAGATTTAGGGAGATACAAAGAGTATGGTTAATCACAGTGTGTCATAAATTCCAGTAATTAACCATTCCTCTGAACTATTCCCAAATAGTGAATTCCTAGAGAAGAGGAGATATGCAGAAAAAGAAAAAGTGGAAAGGCATTACTAAAAAGATGAGAGAGAATTTGTAAGGAAACCACCGGTATTAGAGTATGGCTGCTTTTGCAGCCCCTCAGAGCTCCTGACTAATAGTCTGCTGTACATCAGTGGCCTGAATTTTAGAGGTGTGGACAAAACTGTTTTTTGGGTGCTTAATACTTTTGAAAATTGGCCCTAAACTTACTGAAAATAACCAAGGAAAAAAAGAAACATTCTGCATGTTCAGAATATTGCTAGCTATGACAAAAAATTTAATAAATCTTTTCATCCATAGAATACACAAAAATCTAACCACATGACTAATGTGGAAGATAATGTAATAACATCAGCATGAAATATTAAGGAGGGCAGTTTAGCTCAGCAGAAACTGCAGTTTAGTGGCAACACAATCCTTTATATCAAGTGTTATCAGTCATTTTGGGCAGCTTTGAAGAAATAGGATCTTGGGTATACCCTGGGTTGCAGTCCTCCCCAACTCACTGCTTGGTCTTATTTCTAAACAACTTGTTGAATAGTCACTTTCTGTATTTCTTCACATTAAGCTATCCAGCTTGAATTTTAGTTTATTACACTGCATTAAAAATATCTTTCTACAGCTTAGATAGCAACTTTATACCACTCCCATATATTGTGTGTTACAGCTGTTTTAAAATACTGGTTGTACTGAAACATCTCTTATTTATTTTAATCCCATAGAAGCCAGATATATTCAACTTGTAAAAATGTAGGGCACTTGGCTGAACTTAGGTGGAGGGGAGTAATATGTTTTTTCATCTCTGACAAAAAGTCGGGACAGGTTTGTTTAACAGCGTAAAGCTTGGTATACATGTAGCCCTGAAAGACGGACAGTGAACGTTACTGGGTTTGGAAGATGATTATTATGAAAGTTTTAGAAGTTTGGAAACTATATGACTGAACATGGCACTTAGCTAGTGTTTAGATTTTCATTCTTCTGCATAGACATTAAAGTACAGTGTGACTGTAAAAGTAGCACTGAGGGTGTCTGGGTCAGTGATGCTATGTTAAATTTATTTATTTTGCAAATAAAAGATTTTTGTCTAGCTGCCAGCCTATAGACTTACCTTTGACCTAAAAGCAAAGCTGGGTTTATTCTTTCTTTGACGTTAGCATCACTAATTAAAAAGGCCAGAGATTGTCTTCAGTCATGTCCTGTAAAACCTTGATGGAGGTTTTTGGGGTTGCACAGGCATGTAGTTATTTGGCAGCAGTGAAACTGTACAAGTGTAACTGAGGTCACAGTTTGACTTGTATGATCTTTGCAAGTGCTTATGACTTGTGCAAGGACAAAAGTAGAGCTTTTCTGTCAGATCTCAGATTGAGAGGGTGGCAATTAACAATTGCAAGGCTGGCAATTAAAAAAAATACTGGTTTCACAGAGGAGCCACATTTTAATGACCAAATTCTGTAATCCTGTGGGGGGGGGGGGG